TAACGCCTTCGAACCTGCAGTCGGAAGCTCCAGAGGGAGGTGGAGAGCTCCGCGCCTGGCAGCAGCGGCTCCTCCTCCGGCCAGGAGCAGAGCTTTGCCTCGCTTCTCAGCCGGTCCCCGGTGGGAGCCAAAAACAACACCATACTGCTGGAAAACCAGGCCGTATAGCTGGGCCCGCTGGAGCGAAGGGAGGCACGGGAGAACCAGGACTGCGCGTAGCGGACTGTCAGATCCTGCTCTAGTAAAATGAGAGGTTTTCTAAAAGGGACACCGGTGCTCGGAAACACTACAGATTTAATAGTAGTAATAACAGTATTATTACTATCATTTTAATGTTTACACTTATTAACCTCATTGTTTACTTTTCCTACTGACATGTCTAGATGTCAGTAGCTGAATCTATGACCACTAATAAATGTATATCATCTCAATGTGTCGCCCAGCCTTAAATAACCTACAAATTCAACACAAAGTTGGCTCGAAAAGAAAAAAAAACCCTAAATGACGTACACAAAGCTGCTTCACGCTGTGTGCTGCAGTGTGTCGAGTGTGTCTTTACCTCTCTGTGACAGAGCAGAGTCTCAGTACAACTCCTGGGCCAACGCGCCATAATATTTACTCTAGCCAGGCAGCAAATGCTGCACCTCTCCTCTTGTCCCAGTTTAAGCACTCCATCAGTCTGACAAGCCATGCCAACACGCGCGCACACACACACACACACACACACACACACACACACAGACACACACACACACACACACACACACACACACAGTAAAGGCTTCTCTCGAGTGGTGCTGCTGCTTTAAGAGTAGATTTCACTCGCTGTCTGCTGTTGTGCGAGCAGCGTCTCTTTCCTCTTTTCTTACTGTTCTAATGAGCTGATAAGTGGTCAAAGAGGGAGGGATGGGCGTAGACACAGAGTGGAGGGAAGGAGGTAGATACAGGAGCTCCTCTGTTCTGTTGGGTGAAACCGTAGCCCGGCCGCGTGACTGACAATGAGAGACACATTGCACATATAGCCGAGGCATGTGCTGGTAAAGAAATAAGAGCAGGCAAGTTGTTACATACGTTCACATTGGCAAGAAGCCGATGTTTTTACTCCAGGCCCATAAAAAGCAGTTGAGCTGAAACTGAGGGGTCTGCATTGGCTCTTACCATTTTTATTTGAGCTTTTGTAGAGATTCGGATTTCGGATTCCCCCGAAAGAGCAGAAATCGTAGTAGTAGTCGCGCCAGTTTTATTCCCTCCGTTCTGCTGCACCCAGTTGGGACGGAGGTAAAAGCAGGTCAGAGCCCGGAGGTGGCTGGTGGGTGAAGAGCGGGATCAAAACGGGGCGGAGAAGCAACTGACGAAATGCTTCAGCGATACCGTGGCTTCCTGCTGCGCTGCATTGAGACACCACCAAGTCAGAAAGAGAATAAAGCAGTAGCATCAGCTGGCTCATTAAAGCCAGCTTTCAAGACCAAGTTTGGCTCCTCTGAACCGCACTTAGCGAAGTTCTTTGCCTAACCTTTGATTTGAGATCTTGTTGTATTCTTAAGATGTATTTAACAGGTGTGTTTATGCACTGCACAGTTAGTCCGGTCTGGAGAAAAAGCACATCTTTCTGTCCTGGCTGCAGTTCCTCCAAAGTAAAAGGACTGCTGCTAATTGTAGATCTGTAAAAGGGTGTTGTGTGTTTTTTATTATCATTGCTGTTTGTTTAATGTATTCAAGTTTAGTGTGAGTGAGAAAGTGCCTTTTCATCACATTTACCAACAGACTGCTGGACGCGGCTGATAGGCCGCAACACAAGGTCAAACATGCTTATGTTTTCTCATCCAAATCCATCTGAATTGTGAACAACCCGACCCACCGCCGGCAAGATAAAAAGGACACCGGCATTAATATTAATTAGAAATCACAGCTGAGGAAAATAAATATCAATCTAGCCTAATTGGCGGGCGTGCTGCAGGATGCTTGGCGAAGCCATCTCGGATGTCAGTCTGTGTGTGTGTGAAACACACAGAGATGTTTTTCCTGCTCGAGCGCTCCACCGACGCGCTGCAGACGAGCCCGTGTTTCACGTCTCACCGTGGCTGGTGTGATGCAGCAACATTGTTGTTCTTTCACATGCAAACCAGAGCTTTTCCTCGGCTATCATCCTGCACTGTGACACACACACACACACACACACACACACAGAGCCGGGAAACCTTTCATTCAAAAGACTATTCAACAGAGACTAATGACACCTAACATGAGGTTGTTATGATTCACAATCCGCCGACAGCGGCTGTACTGGGTGATGTGACTGAAATCATTATCAGTATATTGATATACCTTGTACAGAAAAATCACAAAAACAGGGTTTAGGCGAGGTAGCACACAACTGTTATGCATTAAATAAGATGAAACACTTCATATAACTAACGCTGCTGGCTGTTAATTACAGCTTGCTCGGAATCTGTTACTTTGCCACAACAGAAATGTATCAATTAGTCGACAGACAGACAATTAATCAGCAACTATTAATCAACGGTCCATCTTTTTGCTAATTTTTCCAAGTGATAAATGTCAAACATTTGCTAGTTCCAGACTCAAATGTGTTGTTTTTCTGTCATAAATGATGGCAAAGTGAGGAAATTTGCCGATTAATTGGTTAGTCAATGGGGCGGGAATGATTCTGTAACTGCTTTGTTCATTTTTTAAGATCATCCATCGAGCAAAAAACACAAAACATTCACCATATCCAGCAAATGTGACGAGTTACTCTTTATATCACTGTAAAGTGAATATCTATTTATGGGGGTTTTGGTCATACAAAGCGAGACATTTAAGATAATATGACAACTTGGAACTGGCCTGTATTTACTATTTTCTGCAGTTGTATACAAACAAAACAATCAATCATGACATCAATTAGTAGATTCATTTCTTATAACAAGATGCTTCAGCAAGAAAACAATACTGAAGTGCTGCCCTGCCCTACTGCTGGTTATATAAAACCAACACTGATCACTATCGTCGCTATTACACCAACTTAAGTCAATGTTGACGCATCAAGCTAAATCAAAACTCTACATTGTTTGTTCCTGCAAAGGCACGTCGAGTTTTATAAGTAAGAGACTCATCCCCTATAGAAAAGTAACTACGAGTAATGTTTGTGCACAAAGCAGAAGAATAAAATGGTATAGTTTAACAGTAAACCCTCCTCTACTCAATACTAAACCCAAGAAAGAAGGATGTTTGTTGTCATTCATCACTTGTCTTCATATCAACTATTTGGGCTTTTATTGAAGGCTGAACGCTCCATTTCTGTTCTCACATCAGACCAACAGTGGAGTCGTCATTAACGAGGAGAAGGCCTGCAGAGATGCCATCAGAAACCATTTTTATCTACGGAGGAGATGGGAAACAGATGCATTCCGTCTGATGGGAAAACACTGTGCAGGGATTCACACAGCTCTTCAGAGCGAACATGAGAATGAGAATAAGAGATAAGAAACGAAAGAAGAAGAAAAAAAAACTGGCACGCTAAAATCAGTACTGTCTCCATGTCCCATCCCAACTGGACTCTGAGCACAAACTGCATCGTAAACACAGTCGGGGGACACGGAGAGAAGACGCTGCTTCATCACGGGACACAATGCAAAGCATGCACGCAGGCTGCACAGCCAACCCCTGCTGACTCAAAAGGCGAGCAATCAGACAGCAGACCAATGGGAGAAATAGTCTACATCCACCGATCTGCACGTCGACTGCAATGCAGACACACGTACACAACCACTCAAACTACAAATAACCAAGTGGATGATAGCAACACAAGTGCAGTTCTTTTAGGGGTTTTCACGCCGCAGCATTTTGCCGCTCGAGCTTTGAGACAAAACCGATGGACCAGCGTGGGCCTCTCAGTCAAACTGGCAGACTCGCAGAAACCCAGAGGGATCGTGTTGCGCTGGCCTTGTGCTTTTTCTGCACCGCAATACGGACTACCTCATCCCACCTGACAAGCACCGAGCGCTGCCGGTCAGAGAGCACGACGCACGCAAAAAGCAAAAACACACAAACTGTGGACGCGCGAGATGGCCGTGGGAACTCCCTCCCACGCCCACAGACACTCAGACATCCTGGTAACCATGGAAACCCTCCTCCTCCTCCTCACACGGTGACATCACAGGTGTTGAGTCATGACCCGTAGAGGGGCCAAAGCAATCACCTGACCTACTGTTAATCAACTCAAGGTGAGGGGGGCCACAGGTGGACCTGGCCGGACCGGGGAAGATGATGGCGAGGATGATTGAGGGGACGAGGATGATGGTGGGGGGGGGGGCTAAGAATAGAGCCTCGTGCCTCGGAGAAAGAGAGGAAGGGAGAGGAGTGTGTTTCAGTCTCTTTGGCTAGCCACCGGAAACTATAAGCCATATGTGAGCAACGACTCATGAGCGCACGCACACACACACACACACACACACACCACGCTCTGTGATGAGCAAGTGAGGGGGGCAGATGGATGAAGACAGAAAGATAAATCAAGTAGGCAGAGGGGTGGGGTGGGATGGGGGGCTTGCAACATCCACTCACAGGATTGCTTACCCATATAACCCTGATGTAAGCCGCTGGTGACTGGATGCTATACGCTCTGTGTCGCTGGCCACACCAACCTACTTTCACACCAGGGTGCTGCACAAAACACCGAATGGATGTAATGGGCTGGTGTTGATCACACGGGTGAAATGTACAGCGGCGAGTGGCCATATGGCACATTTAAACGGCTGCACTTATCGAGGCCCCTGTGGTGATGCAGCGGGTATGATGGTGTCTGAGGAAGCGGGGAGGGATACCGAGTTTCAGTTAATGAGCTGCAAATGAGTCTGCATATGAAATCTAATTCTGGCTGCTGTAACTTTCCCATTATTATCCTGCAGCTGCCGTGTCTGCCCCTCTGAAGCAGACACATTGCAACAGCAGCAATGACCAACAACCTTTAGTACTTTAAAAAACTAAAATGAACCTACTGGTCATGTGTGGTGGTCCACAGGAGGCAATGGGTTTCTCCTATCATCTCCTAGCTGTGGAGCGTCCTGGTTGTGCAGCAGCCCCCCTCCTGGCCCGGCCACAGAGCTCTGTCCCGGGGCTTTGAGCTGCTGCAGCTCGGCTCAACAGCTGTGTCCAGCTGCGCTACATGGGAGACACTGGGCGCTTTGTTCCCCACAGGGGGGAGGCAGAGTTGTGGGCAGTGGGAGTGCAAACGAATCTACGTGCGTGTACACACATACAGTTTCATTTCCACACACAAAAAAGAAAGGTTAACGGCCTGTAGCCTCGGTCAGCCCAGGTCCGTCCCCCCCCCCACCTCCCGCACCAGACCGGCCTTACAGCGGCAGCAGGCGAGGAGGGGGTGGCACAGCAGACCAGGATGTGTGGAAAATTTCAAATGCGCCCGAGCCAACGCTGTCCGAGCCGAGCGAGTGCATTCACACACACCACCACCCCCCCCCCTGAAGAAATGTACACATATCACTTGAATGCCCTCTTGTTGCTCTGAAATCGCCCGTGAAATGACGCTATAAAGCTGCAGTTAGCGCTGCAAAGCGAGCACCGCCAACAACAAAACATCGACAGATGCGAGAAAAGCCCCAGTGTGCAGCAGGAAGGAAAGCGCCGGGCAATCACGGTGCACTCAGGAAACAACAACAAAAGAGAGGAGTAAAGAGAAGAAAAGGAAGCCACGAGCGGGCGCGTGGTTTTTCCACGGCAGGCTACGCGACACCTCCGGGACATAGATTAACAAGTAATTCGCGCTAGTACTTACTCAGATGAACCGGATCGCCTCGGTCCACTGGAGGATCGCCGGGTCGGTCTTCCGGCTGTGAGTCGGGCGGGATCTGCGCTGTGGAGAGCGGAGAGCTCAGAGCCTCGAGGACTGAACGTAAACTGTGGCTTGCGTCATTTCACCAGGATGCCACTATTGCGCGCAGCAATGCAGCCATCTTGCCGAGGAGTGCCCCACCGAACTCACCAATCACTGCTGGATCCCGAGCTGCCGTCTTATTCTGAGTGATCCACCACGAGCTCTAAGTATTGACCTTGTATGATGCAGTGGAACATCTGAAGGAAAGACATTCACAGAAATTCTACTGGATTTCCATAAAGATACTCAATGTTTGGTGTCACTTTATTCTAGTTGGTGTGAAATGCATTTAGTCAAGTACAATACTTTGAGTTATTTATGCTTAAGTATTTAAATGTTGTGCTATTTAATCAATTTAGTGAGAAGTAGCACCACTTCGACCAGCTGTGACATTACAATGTAGATTGCATGTTTGTGAAGAACTAATATCACGAATATGATATACAATAATATTCTCTTAAAGGGGCCGTTGTACCTAAAGTACATTTTGCAGGTAATACTTTTTAACCTTAAATTCATGGAATTTGAATATATATATATATATATATATATATAGTTTTACCTTATTAAAAGATATGAGCACTTCTTCCACCATTGCGTTGTAACGCCTTGGTGCATACTGAACATTTTCCAATTATATTGAAGTTGACTCAACTGATTTTATGTGGGTGTCCGCCCACTGTTTATAGAAACATGCCTCTTGGAAAAAACTAATTAAAAGAAATAAGACCTTCCATTCAAATATTCCACTTTCCTGTAAAAGTCAACATGTTTTCCGTTTCTTCTGAAATTCCACATAATAATATATTGGAGCAGCTTCTGTATCATTTCAAAGTGGTGGAACATTTAAAACCCATCAACATCCTTGTGAAGTAAAATCAGCCAAATCCATGAATCTGCTAAACCTCGGTGTTAAAATAGCATGAACTCAAATAATCAAACCAGTCTTCCCAATTTCCCTCTTCATTTTTATTTAATTTCATCACGTTAATTTATTGGTTTATTTTTGGCTCATCAGATCTTAGATCAGACAGATCTCATAGCGCCCTCCTGTGGCGCCTTATATGCGTGTCATTTGTCCCACCACGCAGCCGAGGGTGTGTCTGCTCCACCTGATGTGGTCCAGAGGTTGGTTGTTTGTGGGGTGAGACCAGAACCTGAGCAAAGCAGCACTATATTGTTTCAGTCACTATATCTTGACAAATACATATTTACATTGACAGATGACTTCATATATATTCTCCAGAGAGAGAGAGAGATCAAGTTTGTGGTCGAGTCTATCTACCATTAAGCCACAAAACCATCCTGCAGCTCAGTCAGTCACTGCTCCCCCACACGAATCAAGTATTTAACTCGCATCATGTACATACGATAAAGGCCAAAGACCACGAAGAGAGTAAATGTATCATCACACATATTCATCACATTTTAAAATAAAATGAATTGGTCGATGGATTAATTATTAGTTGTTGGACCGGCATTCATGCGAGTCACAGATGCGTAGAGAGAGCACCAGTGTGAGAAGTAATTTGGAGTAGAGAGTGAGACTGCCGTTACACTCAGCATCTCACTTAATGAATGACATGGACACGGACCTCTGTCTGGTCCGTGTCATTCATTAAGGTTTGTTATGAAACAGCGAAAGTGAAGAAAAAAAAAACAAAAAAGTGAGGTAAGAACCCCGGTCTCTCATCCCTAAACTACCGGGCCTGAAAGGACTCCCTCGTGGTCCAGAGATACAGGATGTGGGCCGCCTTGGCACGTGATGCCATCAACAGAGAGCAAGAGACCAGACAGTCCATGTGAGACATCTCCGTCAGCTCCCTTTGAGCTCACCAGATTGACACTGGTGACTTGTGTTGATGCGTCCCCTCCAGGTGTCTCCCCACAGCGGGATCAAACCGCAGTCACGCGCCTGACTACTGTCAGAGCTCATCCTTCTCCATCTGCTGGAACGCCTCCAAGTCTTCCCGCCAATCAGCCAGCAGTTCATCCACCGACTGGCTGCTCGAGTCCGTGTCGCCCTGGGGCTCCTCTCTGTCCTCAGAGTCTCTCTCCTCTTTGGGCCGAGCCAGATCAGCCTCTGTAGCTTCCTCTTCCGGTGGTCCGACGTCCTCTGCGGGACTAGCTTCCTCCTCCGGTGGTGTAACTTCCTCTGCAGGACTTGTGTCTTGCTCTACAGGACTGACTTCCTGCTGTGATGGAGTGACCTGCTCAGGAGCCAGTTCGTCGACCTTCAACGTGCTCATTTGCAATTGGCCAATGGGTTCAAATGAGGTGGGAGTTGTTGCCTCAGTTAAGCAGTCTTCCTCCACTTCCACACCTGAAAAGAAAGAAGGAGTGTCAGACAGACACACACACACACACAAACAGACTTGTCCTCCTCTTCAGTCAGTAATCTATACAACATGCCCCCTGGTAGCCATTCTCAGTCAAAAATAGAAGCGTTTTCCTTGTGAGGCTGTCAACTATAACAGCATGATGCTGATGGTGAGTCATGTTTCCCACAGAATAAAGCCTTTCGCGCATTGCTGCACAACCAAACAGAGTCATCTGTGAAAAGAAATCTGGCAAATAGTTAAACTGTGACTTGCAAAGATGTGGTTAGAAAAAAAAAAAAAAAAAAAAGTGTGAATCCGTTTCTAAAACTGTAGCCGCTTCTTTTATTGCAGGTTGTACACGAGTCTGTGCTTTTTATGATACAGTCGTGTGGAATACTGCGAGGACAACAGGTAATGACTGTAAGGCTTTATGATTAGAGTGCAGATAGGCACAAGGTATCTATCTGGTCATTGTTGCCATAAATACTAGGATTTGTAGTAAAGTGTCACTGCAAAAAAAAGTCGACCAAACACAAATTGTGACAACTTTTTCCAGAATCCATGTATAAACCCATGGCTGGGTCTGGGGTCATACCCCGCCGCGTGTCTAGCCTCGCCATGTGTAATTATTGGTTTTCTCCGGTGACAAAACAGACATAAAGAGCTGCCATGGCCTAAGCTCTGAAGGGGGACAATCAGAGATGACAATACTGTGACTGCACTGAGCTTTCCTATCAAACACAAACAGAATCCTGTGGTTAGAGGGCAGAGTGAGAGGAAGGGATGGAGAGATGAAAGCAGGACTGTAAAAAGGAGGGAGAACGGAGATAAAGGCGAGGGGGGGGATGCAGAATGAGGACACCAGATGAAGAAAGAAGGAAATGAATACTTACTGCCCTCAATCAGTCTGCCAGGAAGAGGTTTACCTTTGAATATGGTGGCTGCTCATCCAAAGGGGAGAGGGTTATGAAAAAAGAAAAAAGAGAAACCAAGAAAGAGAGGAGAGGAGATGCACTGTTACAGTCCACCACAGGGAATAGAGGGATTTGGCAAATGAGGAAAAAGAGGAAAAGAATGACGATGCAATATTGATAAGTGTGTAAAACCGCTATAACCACAGGTGGTGGGTGACTCCGGAATGAGTCACGATCTCTGAGACTTCAAATAAAGCCTGAATCCCTACATCCTCATCATTAATTCATGAAGCCAGCCACATAATGAGGCTCAGTCAGGGGAGAGTGATCGGTACACGGATGTGATCAATCTCATCGAGAGCGATTCGTGGAACACAGAGAAGAGTTCTAACATTTAGGGGGGGGGGGGGGAAGCAGTGTCACACCTCTGTCCCTTGCTTTGTCACTCAGCAGCACCTCCACCTCCCGGTACTCCTTCAGCGCCTCCAACAGGATGTTGCCCTCCTTGTGGAAGAGGAAGAGGAGAGGCATGGTGATGTCATCCGTGCTGCGGCCATCTCCCGCCATCTGGAACAGGGGAGCCGTGTCGCTGCTGCTGCCCTCGTTGTCGTCTGGAAGGAGACGAAGAGAGCGAAAAGATATGACGGAGAGATATAGAAGATAATTAACCGACGACAACTTTGGTGAGAATTGAATCATTGACGTCTTTTAACAAAGAAAAAGTTTCTGACATTTTGTAGATTTAACAATCTAATTTAAACTATTAGCAGGAAAAAAATAGATATACGGGTTGTACTAAATGTTTTATGGTTCGTAAAGGAAATCTACAACTGTTTAGAAAGGTCCTATATTAGATGCAGATCGCTGTTATTAAGCTTACTTGAGTTCTGCTGTATTATTAAGTTATTATCATGTAAAGGACCCTATTCGACCGTCTGTCTTCAAGATTATCAATTTATAGAGGCCTAATCTAGTCACTGGGCAGCCCTCTTCCGTCTCGCGTCGTCAGCCACTCGCACTCACCGATGACGATGCCCCCGATGGCGCCGGCCTTCTGGATGTGTCGGGCCTTCTCGGCAAACATACACTGGCCCCTCTGAAGCAGAGCGATGTGGCCCCGGACGTACTCGGCGTTGGTGATCTCGCTGCAGCCACTGTAGGGTTCAGCCACAGTCGCGAAGCCTCGTAACTGCACACAGATGCACACATTTTTGCAAAGAATGAAGGAAAACATTGTGATATTATGGGGTGTACAGTGCTGCAGTTGTCCACATGTTCTCGCCTGCTGCTAAAAAAACACCCACTCATCTTTTCCTCTGTTTGAATTAGGAAAATATTGTAGGCGAGGAAGAGCCCTCTTAAAAATACCAGAGAAAAGTGAGAGGCTCTCTTAGGAAAAAAACTAAACAGAAGGAGAATTAAGTGCCCACTTGAAACCTGGCAAAGCTACAAAAGCCACTCACCCCTGTGGAACTTTTGGACAGGTCTATGCCAAACTGTGCTGGGCCGGCGGTCAGCACAACCCGGCCAAAGAATGGATGTGAGACGATCTGAATGGCTCTGGGAGGCAGCTGCTCTTTCTGCTGCTGGCTGGACAGCTCCATCATATCCTGCATGAAGCGCACGCCGTCCTCTGCTGCTACCGCACTCACCGCCTGAGCGTGGGCGAGGAGATGAGTGAGAGGGGTTTAAAAAGTCAGGATGGAAAGAACACCATGATTTGTAGAGTTGGTACAAAGAATATATTCTCCGTTGGATAATGACACCAGTAGCACAGCATGTTCTCTTTCTCATTTGCATTTAAATAATAGCACAAATGATCATGAACCGTGTCTTCAAATTTCAACAGGTAACCTTTACTCGTCAGCTCTAGAGTTATCGCTTTGTGTGATCAGTGTTGCGTCATTCCCATCCCTAGTAATTACAACAAAACAGCTGAGGAGTCACATTCTATAAACAGACTTAATTATTCCAGCTCTGGATTCTGTGTTGTTGTTTTTTTAATCTGCCACTAATGAGAACATGCAGATGTTTATCCTTGTTAAGCAGTTGACCTGAGTTGCATGCTGGACCAGCTGCACCCTGCCATCTTTCAGGTGGATGAGACTGACTCCCATTCTCCTCAGCAGCTCCAGATGTTCAGGGTTGTTTGCCATGAAGTCCTGCGCCCTCAGTGGAGGATGACCCATACCGGGCTCCCTGAAGAGGAGGAAGAGTTTAAAAACATGGAAGAGGCACAGCAGTCGGGAGAAATAGCTAAGCGCAGGCACATGACCGGGTCACACCTGTATACGTACACGTACCGGTAAGGAGCGGGGCGGGGGCAGCTCTTGTCCACAGCGCTGCGGATTGGTTCTCTCAGGTTACGGGGGTACGCGGGGTCAGGAAACAGGAGGCGGGTGTTAGGGCAGGTCCAGTCGAAGTTTGAGTCGTCCAGCTCCTCCTTGGACTGAAGTACCACGAGTAAATCACAGATTCTCTTAGGAACTGGAATGTGTACATGCGTTCATCAATTTCTCAGATATTAATCATAACGGTGTCGAGTACCGTTCTGTTTGAGGGAATGGACGACGAGTGAGGGCCCGTGGAGAGGGACAGAGGCAGCAGGTGTGCCTCGGTTGTGAAGACGTAGTCCTCCACGTCAAACGGTAAGTCTTCCGCATCGGCAAACAGCAGGAACAGGTATTTGAACATCTCAGCGAGGAAGAAGGAGTCCATTCTGGCAGGAGAGAACAGCTGGTTTATTTATCAGATAATCAATGAAGGGCATTGAAAAGTAGAGCCAGCGTTATCAGCATATTGTGGACGTTTTATAGGCTGCATTGCTATGTGCATTTGACTTTTCTTAATCAATGTATCAAGCCACTCATTTTTATGTGATTATAGCATCATTTAAATTATTCTGATGGCAAAAGTATTTTTCTTTGCTTTAAAAAAAATGAAATGTTTAACCTGTCTTGCGTCTTCAGTACACTGCTTTGTACCAACTCTTTCAATAACCTAATATGAGTGATCCTTGCAAAGAGTGTGTGTCTTTATCTCAAGATAATAATAATATTTTTTATAATTCTTTATATCCTCACCTGTCCTCGTGGCTCCCAGTGCGTACGTCCTTCATTGCAGCGAAGCCGCAGGGAACACGAGCAAAGCGGTTGAGGTTGTCCAGGATGGTGCGACCGGCCTCCAGGTAATACGGGTCTCCTGTGGCCTGGGAGGATCAGAGGACAGTAGTGTGATCGTAACAGAGGACAGGACATTCCACTGTGAGGAAGGCTCCAGTGGAATCTCACGAGACACAAAGATGTAACTCCCAATCCCAAGTGTTTCATCGTATTATGTTCCTTTATACATTTTTTACAAGACACAAGAATGCCAAAGGCAAAGTACTGGAGGCTGCTTAATAACTGCAGAAATGGAGATAGTGTGTCCGACATTTTGTAAATGAGTCCCATTGTAATTGTAACGTAACACAATCTGGTGCACAAAACTGGGCATTTACCTCTGTACTGTAACAGCGGAAAGAGAACATCTGCATTATGTCAAGCGTCCTTGATGAATTACCTTGTAAAGGAAATAGGTGCTCTCTGCAAACTCTGGCCTCAGGGGATGTTGGGCCCAGTGTACCCTGAAATCAGTGGTGAAGGCCTGGGGAGACACGGAGAAGGACGAAGCGGTCAGTGTACCATCCAACGCTTTGTCATTACAACAGACAGACGAAGCTAAACTGCGGCCGTAGTCGCATGAAATGCAAGCGTGTTTCACTTCCAAACACTTACGGTTGACAACACAAGTCATATGGGGGGTTACTTGTCTCCATGGTAAAATGAGACCAATGTGGCGTTTCTTTTTGTGGAGCAGTCAAAGCCTAAGATGGTATTTAAAGTTGGATACACAGAGAGACAGATTACCTCTGGGAGGAAGTTGTGTTTCTTTGTAACTTGATACAACATCTCATGAGTCTCGATGGCAGGACGGATGTCTCCCTTCAACACCTGGAACACGCACAGTATGTACAGTATGTACAGCGTTACTGTTACAGCACAAGGCGTTATAGGAAGAGCAAAACTTTCAATTCACATGATCCAATCTAACCTGCAGTCCAGGGAAGAAGGCCAGCAGAGAGTCCATCCAGGTGCGAGCGGGAAGCAGAGGTTTGTGGATGTGGACGTCCAGCAGCAGCGGAGGCTGGCTTATGTACTTCATTATAGATGCATAGTGCTAAATGGGACATGCCAAGTGGAGGGGCGATAATATTAACGGTGGTGTGGTGCTCGGTGATATACACCAATAGACATTTGAGTACGAGTACTTTTCTTTACTTCTGTGCTGGAGAACTAAACAGAATCCTGAAGTGTACAAACATAAAAGTAGAATGTATTATGGTATATGTTGGTGATGCCATAGTGAGATGCTATTATGCAGATAGAGGGGCATCAAATTACTCTGTACAAGTGTGTGTGTGTGTGTGTGTGTGTGTGTGTGTGTGTGTCTTTGTCCTCACAATATTGAACCGCTGCAGAAACACGTCATCTCCCAAGAGGATGTAAGCCTTTAGCAGGTATTCATAGTACGAGTCAATTCCCGCTCCCACTCCGCTGTCTGGGGTGACACAATCAATCATCACACTTCTATGAGACAACAACAAAAATCAGATGATGTTCCATGTTTACCCATCAACCCTCTGTGACACCAAATCCACTCTCACCCAGACAGAAAGATTGCACACTTATACTTGATTTACACTTTCCCATGTCCTGATCTGCCACAGCCTCCTTCCTTCACTTCTCTCAACACTCCCCCCCCCCTCTCTCACCCCTGCGGACCCACTCTCCAGAGTGGATGTTGATGGTGGTTCCCACCAGATTGCTGTTTCTCTGTCTCTTCTCCCACAGAAAGTCCAGAGCTCTCCGGGCATGGGCCTGTGAAGAAGGGTGTATTATTGATTTTAAAAAAAAATAATAAAAAATGAAGTTTAAAATCAATCTGCAGAAGCTGTCAACTGTGAGAGAGATTACAGCAATAGACTGTGCTTGATCAGCAGTTTACTGCTGCCAGGAAGTAAACCAGTGCAAGGAAAGGCTCTAATATCGTTGCACAGGGTAAAATATCTAACTCTGAAATATTTCAGAGTACCACTGCAGCTACAGGGTCCCTACCCTCATTTCCTGTTTGTATACACTTTATACAGTAGACAACATTGAGATGTATCTATTTCCGTGAGATGCACATTGATCAACAAGCAACAAAAGAGGAGGAGTTCTCACTGAAGACATGAGATACATGACACAGCATTCTACATTAAACAAGAGGGTTGTGTCTGAAACCTGTTCTAAAACAAAATGACACGGTGTAACCAGAATAAACAAAGGATGCCAGCCACCTGTAAGGTGTGGCTGTTTAGTGCCGATGCATGTCTATTCAAATAGCTGATGACTTTCTTGTTCTTGTAACAAGCTCTTTGACAGTGATGACACCCGGTAGTTATGTTTTGTGTGTTGGAACAGTTGTGCCGATAAATAATTAGCTGTTGTTGTAAACTTGAAGTCAAAAGAGGAGTTATTCCTGAAAGACATTTTGCTGTTGCTGGATGGCTAAAATATATATATTGCTTTATCATTTATAATACTTTGAGGGACAACAGCATAAATCTGTTCACACTGTTGACTTAATTTTTACATCTGCCTTAAAAAAAAAAAAAAAAAAGGCTTCACTAAATCATAAATCACAACATGTTAATGTAGCCAAAGGAGGATCTTATCGTCTGATACCTCAAACACGGGCTCTCCAGTGAAGCGACTTAAGGCAGCAAACTCCAGGATGATGGTTCCCGCACACGCAGTGCAGGTGTCCGTTTCTGTGCCTGTTCTCGTCTCAGGACCCCTGACACCAAACTTCAAGTTCACCTGTCAGGTAGAAAGAAAAAAAGAAAAGAAAAAAAAAAAACATTACTCAATCTGTTTTAGAGTCACAGTTGTTTTGCAAGAGACCGTGCATGAACACGAACACATGGGCGTTCAAAGGCTGTGACAGCTGCGAGCAGAGCAGTGAAGCGGAAAATGGAAATATGTAGTCATGATCCGAGAGGTTACAAAAGGGTCAATTTGACATATTACATATACAACCCTGGAAATGTGTGAATGAGTTCAAATATATTCATTTTTTGTAGTACATCATCAAATATGTTTGACATAGAGATTAATAAAACAGGATCTTATTTAAAAGAAAGGTTTTTATCTTGAAAATTAGATAATATGGGACTGCTGTGCCATTGACAGGACAAAACAAGTGTGTTCTATGCTGTTGTTGAACATCCCCACCTTACAAAGACTACAGTACAAGTCGGTGTGTTTCTGGTATTAAGGAGCAGAATGAAGGTGTTTCTGTCTGTGCGCAGTTGTCTCACCCTGGGATAAGGAAGGCCACTGCTGGTGTTGAAGGCTGGCAGCAGTCGGAAGCCCAGGTCTTTGGCCATATGCAGGAGCTCATCCTGGTACCACTGCATGTGCTGACCTCCCTCCTTCAGCATCACAGCCATGGAGTGCCCTCCCAACAGACCTCTGAACACACAACAATCACACGTTAGGAATTAAGAACAGCAGCACCCAGTGATTTCTTATCACTTCTATGTTTTGCTGCCGGTCAGGGGGGTACACTTGTTGGGTTATTTCTTAACCATTAATATGTGTCGATTGTCTAATCCGATCTCACCCAAGGACTCGTATGTTGGTTTCGAAGACCGATACCACGATGTCGTTGTCCAGCCTCACATCTGACAGCACTCTTCTCACTGCAGCCTCAAACTCTGTCGTCTTGTTCAAAAGCTGGCAATGACAAATAATACAGGACTATAAAAATCAGGCTTAATTATTATCATTATTTAAAATGTCATTGATTAAAGGTGGACTGAGAGACTCAGGACATTCTTCAGACGACTGGTTCATTTTTAAATTAGAAACATTGACATTTCACTCTAAAATCTGCTAAGCAGTACAGAATATTATATAATACAAAACCTCCATAGTGTGTTGTCCTATTAATTTCTGTTAAATGAAATTAAATTTATTTGTATAGCCCAAAATAGAAATTTGCCTCAGAGGGCTTCACAATCTGTACAGCATACGACATCCTCTGGAATAAGTATGACCACTAATAATAACAGCAGCAGTGGATATAATAGAACAATAATGATACAAAATACAGCCTCACAATAATAACACAAAGAATTACTGGAAGACAACCAAACCAATACGCACCACCAGAGTGTCCAGTGTGTCTATGAGGGTCAAAGAGAACCTACCAAAGAGAGAGAGAATTTATTTTTTAGCAATAATTAATGTAATTAGATTTCATATAACATTATTCAACAAAATGGTTATTCAGCAATGTGTACAATTTGTCTCCACCCTCCACCTCTGGCGAGCGTTTAACCAGGTGTGGTGATCTTTGTGTGGACCAACGGTATCATGGCTCCGCTAGTGCGTTAGGACTCACGGGACTACAGTCAGTGTGCTACTCACTTTCCCAGCGCATCGTCCACGTCACCACGGCTGGGTTCAAGCCCACGAACTCTTCCTCTGCATGTTAGTGGCATCAGCTCATCTGCTGGGTATGCATGGTCCTGAGAAACACGTTAAAACACCAGCTCAGTCTGATTAGACCTTAGTCATCTTAAAATGTACACACATCCAACATGAAAGAAGTTCTGCAAAGCTGCAGCAAAAAGGCAAATTAGAAACTAGAAATATCTCTTTATGTGAAGAGATCCAGTGAAAATGGATAACTTACCATATAATTCTGATATGCATGGTCAAACATCTCGACCACTTGGTTCCTTTGTTGAGGGGAAATAAACAGACAAAAGTCAGCGTGGGGAACATGTTTTCGGGGGATTCTCGCTGTGAGGAAGCTGTGTGTGTGTGTGTTGGTTTTTTCCCAACTCACCTCAACCTGTGCCTCTCCTCCCGCGACATGGCCTGTCCCAGGCTGCATAGTGCTCCAAGCAGCATCAACGAAAACAGTACAGCCGGCATTGTGGTAGTGGGCGAGATCGTAGCAATATACATAAAACTACAGTTTGGCTCGCCTCTTGGTCAGTCCCAGAGCAAATAGCTAGTCATTACCACTGCCCTAACCAAATAGCTCTAACTAACAAAAACTCCTAAGAAACACAAACCTACACCACCCCATTAATGTTATACATCTGGGATCATGTTAAAGCACTTTGTTTGGCTTGGCCTAAGATGTACCATTTAATCATTAATATGTACAGAAAGCTTCATGTAATCATGCTAGTTTGTTGCTGATCTGTTTCTCAGCAAACGCCAAAAACAAGACTACAAGTTAATGACCGACTATGTACAATGTGCGCCTTCATGTGTGCACTTACAGTGCAAAACTGCAATCAAATGAAAAGATTCCTAGGAATGTTGTTATATCAAGTAAACAGATATCGACGTGTAACTGATAGAGACGGACCGGGCACTAGCTGTAGTGCACAGTTGGTAAGTCACACCTGTTTATTTTTCCAAACGGTGACCCGGACATACTGTACGCAGGTGTGACACGTTGACAAGCAAAATGATAACGTTATATGTGAGTCTGCCACAGAGCAAACCCGCACAAATCAAATGAATCCTGCGATCTAATGATGTAAATAACATTAAAAGGTATTTTATAGATGTAGTCTTCACGCAGCAGCGATCAAAGAAACGTCTCGCCTTTTCCGTTATCACGACACAGTTACGACTCACTGTAAACCCAAGCAACAAACACCGAAATAACAATCCAAGTCTTATTTCTGTTTACAATCCCAATCCACAAATCGTTCACTTACTCCACACAATCTGCAGCCAAATAAACCATAAATCAAACCAACAGCTCTTGAAAACTCCTGTTCATACTACCTTCCGTTATCTCTCTCATGTGTCGACTGTAAAACCTTATTAGATGTGAGTTAATTATTTTCTCCTCTAGACATTTGTCTTTCGTCAGCCACTCAAAACAAGCAGCCCAACACTTGTCGGGGTTTATTAAGCCAGTTAGCCAGCTTGGCTAACTAGCTTAGCGGGCGAGAACAAACAGACGGACCAATAACACAAGAAAGTCAACAAAACCCGCGTCCATTGTTGGGCAGCAGACCTGACAGAGCGATCTTTTCTGTCCGTTAGGTTATAGAGTGGTCAAATCTACCTGTAAACTGTTGTTTCGCCAAGCTAGCCTGCCTTAAAAAAAAAACGGATGCCGTAGCGATAAAAACGTCAACAACATCCGCTTCCTGGTGTACAAGGATTGTGTGCCCTGAGTAATGCTTGACAGGCAGTAGGTGCCGAGAGGCATATCGCCTCTCCTTCGCTGAGATTTGCAGACATAACTCTAGACATGTATATAACCCCACTATTAAGCGTATTTAACCGTATCGTAAGGTTAGCCAGCAGTTTAATCGCGTTTGAATGGGTTAAACAAGTAGTCATAGTTACCTGAAAGTCAAGATTACGGAAATAAAACGTCCAATGCAGACTGTAATAGTTTGTGTTGCCTTTCGGTGGGTTAGGGTTAGAATTAAGTAAATCAGCATTAGAGGCAGACGTTGCCCAAGGGAATTACCCACAATTCATTGCAATGTGACGTTAAACACGAGGTAACCAGTAGAATCATGGAGAATAAAAAAAAGGTAAACAAAGAGGACAGAACAGGTGTGTTCAGCTTGGAATATTAAATTTACTCAGAAACATTAAGAGTTAAAGATGGAACAAAACAAAAAACATGAAATCAGAGGATATTTATTTCTTTATTTATTAATCAAATATTAGATTTTGCCATTAAAGCTGTTTTGACAAAATCAAGTAAATTAGATTATTTGAAATTACCTCTCATCTTGTGAGGAAAGAGCCTGGAAGACGTTCAAATCAGGGAGTAAAAAATACAAAATAAATACCCACAATTGTACATCATATTTCATGTCGTTGTCATGGTAACGTCATTTGTCCCGTTCGTGTTTACACCATTACAAGACCTCACAGTCTCACACTAAATAAAATAACAGGTGACGGGCATGGTTTTAAGGCTACATGGGGAACAATTGGGAAATGAGATTCTGTGATCGCCCTCTCTCTGGCCTATCACAAGTATGCGCTGTACGTATTGGTCAAGGTGCGAGCCTGTGATTGGTCGAGCAGATAAAGGTGAGCGGGTTTACCTGTTTTGTGACGGGAGCTGGTAAAGGTTGTTGGACCGGGACAAACGAGTAAGAGATGTATAAAAACTGTAAATAAAACGTCATGTTCACTTGTGAGTTTGCTCGGTGTGGTTAACGTTAATAAACCAGTTCATGCAAGGACTTCACTCTGTCTCCGACTCATAAGTGGAACATTACTATATTAAACTGTAGTTTTATATTTGATTGGTTTTCTGATTCCTCATATGGTTTAAATGTATGTTCATTGTAGGTCTGACCAACAAAAGGACTACAAACAACTTTCTTAATTTATTATAAAGATTGGTCTTTTCATTATCTGATATTTCCCTCAATAACTTTTATTATGGATCCAAATAAAGTGAGAGAGCGCTTGAGAGACGAAACACGTTTTACATAATTCATCATCATTTCCATTTAGTCACGTGAGGATGATCATTCCTGAATATCGGGTTTGATGAGTTATATAATTTCAATTTCCCCCGAAACATGGAGCCTGGACGTCACGATCAGAATGTCAAAACGTTCACGCAAATAATTCATAAATATGACAAACTCATTCTGCGGTAGAAATCGATCCTGCGCTTATAAACAGAACACAGATTGTTAAACAGGTAACACTCTACAGTGATGATAACTGTCTTTATTCGTTTTTAGTATTATTAGTTACTACCATTATTGTGTACAGACATACACTTCTTAAAAGTCTCTCCAGCTTCTAAATCCGGCTGACAGTTGATCCAGCGGCCGCCGCCATCAGAAACAGACGTCGCTTCACGTAACGCAACTGAGGAAATGACGTACGTTAAAACATAGGCTCGTTCGACTTAAGCCAGGCGTGCGCAGAATCGATCACCGGCGATCGGCGCACAATGCATGCTGGGTAGATTTGCGTCCGACTTGCTCTGACGTCATGAAAACGTGCGTAACGATGACCTCACGTGAGCGAGGCGGCCGCAGATTTTAGAGCCAGGCTATGCAGAATTGCTCTCCACCGACTGCATGACCCCAGGGCATGATGGGAAACTTCTTGCTGTCTTCGGATCAAAGAGCTGATTGGCTCTTAGATTTTCTTTAGTGGAAAAGGTGGGTGACGTGGCTCACTGGGTTAAGAGGTTTGTCTGGTGACCACAAGGTTGTTCGTTCGAACCATGGCCTTTGACGTGTGGCATGTCAAAGACAGCCCACTGCTCCCCATATATAGGGATGGGTCAAATGCAGAGACAAATTTATCCTTAATTAACAGGATAAATATAGTATAAAAAAAAATTTAAATCCTAATTTTCTGTCTAATTGTAATACTTAACGCTAGATTGTTGGCTATTAGTCTCATTTTGTGCAATAACAATAATAATATATAAGGTTATTTATTTAGCATCTGTAAATAAAGATATTTATTGAGAAAGCCTACATCCTACTTGATGTCAACATTTCTTCAGTCAGAGCACTGAATGTGTCCATCGATTAATGATTGTGAAGCATCACAAAACGTATTAAAAGAAAAGCACAATTGTCACTGACGGAAACTTGCAGTGTTGCTTTTCCTCCGTGTGGAGCCTGTTTATGTAGCTGTGATGTTTGGACAGTTGGTTCAGTTTTTAAATTTCTTAAATTTACAGTTGTATGATTTAGAAATGACGCTATCTTCACATATATTTATTTATATAAATGTTTAAATAAATATGACATCCAAAAACTAAAATATGCCCAATCTTATATCCTCAATTATAATAATAACACAGTTAAATATATAAAAAGACATCCAAACTTAAAGACCAGCAATTTTGGGGTTCAGTGTCTTGCTCAAGGACAAATCGACATGCTCCTAGCAGAGCCAGGGATCGAACCGCCGCTCCTCTGATTGAAGGACGGCCCTGCACTCCACTTAGCCACAGTCGCCCAAGATCAGTTCTAGACTATGGCTGTGTGGAATATAGGTCGGCGTCTAAAACCTTGTTGGGAAAACTGGATGTAATACAAGCGTCAAGAATATGTAGTGGGGTCTTTAAAACAACATCTGTGCCGGCATTGCAGGTAGAAATGGGGGAAATGCCGTTGGAGTTGAGAAGAATACAGATCATGATGACATATTGGGTCAGTTTACAAGGACATAACAACTATCCAACAATAAGTGCAATTGAGCCATGCTGGGAACATGACAACAGGCCAACAAAGAGCTTTGGTTGGGTTGTTCAGAAGAAGGCTAGTGAATTAGGTTATAGGAGTTATTCTCCAGCTGTGGTCCAGCTGTTCCTCTTTGGTTACTGCCACAGCCTGGAATTGATCTTGGCCTCCTTGAACTGATGAGAGATGAACGTGGGGGAAACTGTAAGATCTTCAAGTCATACATCAGTTACCACAATTAAATACAGATTTATGGATCTAAAGACCCTAAAACTGGTAGAACAGCAGCAGCAGCAGTAATCCCAGAATTCCATTTGGAGTGTGGGAAGAGACTTAGTGATGATGTATCTGTGTTTACATGTGAGATGATGGCCATATAGTTATTGCGTTACAGTGGGTAGAGGACGTCAGGCCAGAGAGAGTGGTGATTGCATCAGACTCATGTGCAGTGCTAACGAGTTTGACATGTTGCCACTCCAGAAGCAGAGAGGATTTACTGTTTGAAATTCTACAATCATTTTTAAGAAGCCATCAAATGCGGATAGCGGTTCATTTTGTGTGGGTTCATGTTGGAGTCGATGGCAATGAGAAGGCGGATAAAGCAGCAAAAAGGGCTTTGAAGAGTGGGAAAAATAACGTTAATGTAAATATAAGTAAGTCAGAAGCTAAAGTGGTGATTAAGGGACAAATTAAAAGGATATATCAGAACGAATAAAGGAAGATATCTGTTTAAAAATAAACCATTGGTTGGGAGTGCAGGATCTAGTGGACAAACTAGAAAAGAGGAGATGATTATGACAAGACTAAGGAATGGCCATACTGGTCTGAACAGTTCCCTCTATGTTATTAGAATGCATAATAATGGAAAGTGTAAATTTTGTGGAGAAGAAGAAACCGTGGACCATGTTTATTGTCCTGTCAGAGGTATGAGTCAGAGAGAGACGTTTTGAAAAAAAGGTCTAAGAGAGATTGGAGAGGAAAGCTTTAGTGACAAATGTTGGAAACTTTTTCTGGAATATTTAGAGTCAACAACACTAATGAATAGAATTTGAGAAAGAAATGTATTATTATTCATTTTTTCGACATGTGTGTGTGTGTGTATATATATATATATATATATATTCATTTATACACATATGTACACACATATTCATTTACACACATATGTATGTGTGTATATATGTATATGTATTTCTTTTCGTTTGGTTGTGGTATTAGAGTCCTTAGTCCACACTCCAGGTCAGTGGGAGGCGGTAATGCACCCGAAAGCTGTTTGCCAACCGCCAAAAAAAAGCAAAAGAAAGAAGAAGAAGAAGAAGAAGAAGAAGCAGGCGGCTGAAAACGGTCCGACTTGAACGCAGTTTTTTGTCAACGCCCCTTTCTACGTCCGCCTGCTCTCGTCTGCTTTCCAGGCGAGGCGTAGTTCAACTCGAACGAGCCTCCTCGCATGGTTTCGCAAGACAGAGAAATGGGGATGAAATTAAGAGACTTGGGATGTACCCAAGAAGTCATAGAAACAGTTACTTCCTCTTAGATCCGATCTGTAGGCTACTTGTTTACAGACCTCGTTTGGATTTATTCATGTATGTTTATAAATATATATTTATGTGGAAACTTGCGTTGTGTCTGTCTGTGAAAACTTCATGCATCATTGGGGTCATGCAGTTGGTGGAGCGGCGCCTGGTTCTAAAATCTGCGGCCGCTCAAGTCTGCACAGGACTGGCTCGTCTCAAACCAGCCTAATGACTACTTTTCCCGTCACGCTTTGTGGCGTCACGTGACCAACCGTCACGTTATACATCTAAAGGTATCAACCGTTAAAAGACAACTGTCACCATTTCCTGTCGTTACTTACGACCGAAAAATATAGTTGACATCGCGCAGAACGGAAACACGCAAAGTTACAGGTACGTAACCTTCCCTGTAAGCCTAGCAAAGGTTTTAATTGCTTGCACACCGTGTATCCTGTTGTTGCATGATGCAGTGTTTTTGTAAAATGTGATGTTTCGTACCAAGGTGTGATGTTAAAAGTGAACACTGGGCTAACAGCTCTTTCCTTGTTTTCTTTATTTTGTACCTTCACCTCTCACTTTCTTTTGTAACGCTGTAGTATACTTTCTCACTTTATTCTGTAACGTTAGCCTATCCCCTTTCCATTTCTTTTGTACCTTATTCTGTCTTCGTTTCTTTCTTTCTACCCACCTATGACATATCGGTTTGTTTGCATGGTCAGGTAGCAAAATCAGTCATGGGTCCTGCTGAAAAGAAGCCGACAGGCCTATTTGCAGCCACGTTTACTCCATTCACCACACAAGGGTAAGGAGCCTTTATGAACCACTTCACCTTGTCTGCTTGTTTTACCGGACTAGCTGATATTAGTAGTATGAATGTAGCCTCACATTCGTTTTCTAAATGATATCAGTCCTCACTAAAACGTCTGAAAACTAATATCACGTGACTATTCACGTGCACTTGGCATGCGGGTGCCTTTGTAAACAGCAAGTAGATGGGTTGCTTAGTTTAAAAAAAAATACGACTGAAGTAATAAACACTTACACGTAAAGGTTTACTAGATTATGGGTCCATACATGGGGGTCAACACACGTCTCTCACTCATTTCATTGTTTCTGTTCTCAGTCGTAGCTCTGCTGGTGGCTGAAGTCTCTGTCCTACTGGAGAGCAACCAATGTTTTGTCCCTTTTATATTTTATGTGTGTGGACTTCACAATAGTTGTGCAGAACAAAATAAGCATTAATAATAAAGGGAAAGTCCTCCGTTTTGTGTCAAAGCCGCTAGCCGTCACTTTAGACGTCCGCTCCCTAGGGTGGATAACGCCGCTGGTCACTCCGCTCGCTAACAGCTGCTTCCTCCGCAAACATGCAGCCTTTAATGAACAGCTGCTAGTAAAGACAACAAGGTCAGCAACGCCTGTAATCGGGTGTCCATGTTAAATTAGCCGGGGGTACATCCCAAGTCTTTTAATTGTCATTTCCTCGCTTGAGCCGGAAGTTGTTCTGCTCCGCCATATTGACGGTCTTCGTCCTAAAGCCGTCCTAAACCCTGATCTATTGCCACATTATTCAGCATTTTTATATCTTTTACACTTTTTGAACTGCAGCAATTTAACTTTTATGATTTTTCAGCCCTTTTCTGACTTTATAATGGGTGTGTATTGCGCAGCTTAGAGTGCGTGATGTCACCGCTAGAGTGAAGAGCAGCTTGAGATTCTTGTGAAAAAAACATTTGTGTTTTGCCACTGTGTCCACAATCTTCACTCTTCATGCATACTTTTTGATGGAGAAGTAGCTAATCTTGTCCTTGTCGTAGACAAATGACTGTGGAATCCCACAGATTTACACATTTGACACAGAAGCCTGTAATTGAGAGGAAAACCAACTTTCTGCTCCATAGAGACCAATGTTAAATTTTGCTTCAAAAACATCTTCCACGGAACACGGTACCCCATTTCTAGATCGCCAGTTCAGCCACATTTTTTACACTACAGACACAATTTTTTACAGGATCTGTTCTTCAACTCATCCTTCCTCTCATTTATTAATATCGGCGCAATAGGAGCTACGGTTATGGGAGTTTTGAGGGTTTGTTTGAGAGGTGTTTCTCTGTTTTATCTCCATGAAAAGGCTGCAAGGACACAGGTGTTTCTGATTAAGCTAATTAGTGATTAGGCTTTTTTGTGAAATGAATGCTCTCACTAATACTGCGACAACTACTACTGCTGCTGCTAATATAGTATTACTACTTCTACTATAGCTTTTGCTGTTGCTACTGCTATTACTGCTATTACTACCACTACTACTATTACTTATACTACAACTGCTACTACTACTGCTATTCATGCTACTGAAAGTAGTAATACTAGTACTACTGCTACTTCTTCTACTGCATTACTATTACTACTACTACTACTACTACTGTTATATTAAATACTACGACCAATACTACAGCTATTACTATGACTACTGATACTACTTCTTCTACTACTTCTTCTAATTACTAATAATACTTCTACTACAACTTCTACTACTACTACAAATATCACTACTGCTACTACTAGTACTTATTCTAATGCTACTAATACTTCTACTAATAATACTTCTACTACAACTTCTACTACTACAAATATCACCACTGATGAAATTTTTTAAGCCACAGAAACCATTTGAATATCAAAATGTTCAGCTCTTTCAGGAGAGGGATGATATGACTTTTCATCGTTGTAATCTTTAAACTTTTTGAATTATTAAGCTTTTTGCAATTTTTTTAAAATTGAATATCTATTTTCAGCAATGTTTTTGCAATTAATTTCAGCATTCCAACGCATTTTCAGCAGGAAATGCATTTTCTAGTTAGTATTATTAGTTGCGATTATTAAGTACAGCGGTCTGTTGTTGTTTGACTTTCCGGGAAAGGTCACGTGATGGGGGCGTGACGAATCAGGGAAGTCATGGCTGCTAAGAACCAATCAAGTAGCGTGTGTGGGCGTGATCGTTTCCAAACGTATGCGTTTACGATGTCCACATGACAAGGCAACCCCGGAGTTTTCAAACTTATCCGTCCTCAGTGCTCGAAAACTCCGGCGTAGTGTGGCCGCTCAGTGTGAACGTAGCACAACAAATGCGTTTTAAAATGGAAACGTAGTAGTGAGTGATATGTGTTATGTTGGTGAGAAAGTGTTGTAGAGTTAAAAGTGAGGAATGAGGCGTGTGGACATAATTGAAAACTGGCACCCTCCTGTAGATCTAAGGCACTATTGCATGTTTTGTTTTGTTTTTTGTGCAAAATGTATATGCCTACATTTTTCCTAAACAGTGAAGTCAACCTAGTAGAGATTGGACCTTATGTTGACTACTTGCAAGAGAAGCAAGGTGTTAATAGCATATTTGGTAAGTTTAAAGGTGGATTCTTCCTTCTGATATCTGTCGTTTTCCAATCTGAATCATCCCCAAAATTGCATGCCTTGTCTTGTTGGTTTGTCAATATGTTTGTCCTCTGTTCACCGTGTTAACCCTAAAGTCCGGTAGCACCCTGGAGAACCAAGCCTGAGTCGGATAGTTGTTAGTTTGGGACAGCAACTCTACATTTAGACTGAAATGATCTGTGAAGTCACTTCACAAAACTTTCCAAAGCTAAGAAAATAACTCTTCTGAAGGCTTTAGTTTCATTTCTTTTTCAGAAGCTTGTGATAGTTTACATTTTGAATGCACTAGTTTCAACATTTAAAAGGCAATTCTACCGCCTGTAATTCTAATTTCATTTTAGCCACATAATCTATTTTCTATGTGATGTGTTAATACCAGAGAGCAGAGCTGTCTTCAAAACATATTGCTTCATAGTGTGATCTACTTTATTATTTCGTCATCAGCCCTTTTTTGTGCAATTGTTCTTACATTAAAAAGTGTCTACCTTTAATTCAACTACCTAATATTTTAATAGAATTATACCATTTTAAAAACGATGATCCCATCGTAGCGTGATCCGATTTAAAGGGGCCTTGTGGAGGAACGTGTACACGTGACTCACAGAAGCGCAGTGTATCCTCGAGGCCCGACAAACCGATTGGATGAACAACAACCTTTCTCTTGGTATGTTTGCAAAGCCGGTTGTGCTCAATCTGTTCCACAATAGCCACCGTCCCTAGAACACAGACGCAGAGAGAGAAGTTAGATGAAGGTGACGATATCTAATCCGAACCTTCGCTCTAACTTTGATCAAAGCTAATCGGTGTTTCCTGTGTGTCAATCGTGTCTCTGATTACCGTTTCATTTCACACTTTACTCAAACACAATGAATCGCCTAAGTTCCCGCTAAGCTCCTCCTCTACCCAGCAGAGGATGTTCGTGCTGATCATGCTCTTTCTCATCTCCCTGTCATTGTCTGCATCACCGCTCATTACCCGTGTAATTGATTTGTCCTCGCACTAATTGCACATGCGGTCGTCCTGGTGGTGGATCCCTCTATGAACAGGCCCCATCAGAGGTTTCTTCCACTTTTTCTATTTTTGCAAAAAGATCTGGTAGTGCTACCTATGCTAACCGTGGCATTGTATGTCAGATAATCCTTTTTTTGTCTATATATACGGTGCAATTAGAAGTCTCTTGCTTTATTTCCTTTCCTCTTTGTGGATTTAGTATGATACACTATATTGTAATCTATTGCTTTGTGACTCAGTGAAGCTATAGATTCGGGCCAGCTTGTTCTCTTTATTTTACTTTCCTTCAAGATGTGGTTTTTATTTGTGATGTGCAAAAACGGTATCTAAGTAAGACGAGACTGTACTTGCTTTCAGTGAATGGGACCACCGGAGAGGGCCTGTCTCTCACTGTTGCAGAGAGGAAGATCCTGGCTAAGGAGTGGTGTCAGAAAGCCAAGGGCAGGTAAGTTGTCACACGGGGGCCTCTATCGGGGGGGATTCATCCCGTTTGTCGAGTCTAATGCAACAGTAAATCGACAGATTGTGAAATTTCTTGCACGTGTCGACAGATTAGATCACGTGATCGTGCACGTCGGCTGCATGAATCTTAAAGACTCCAAAGAACTGGTGAGTTGTTGCCTTTAGTGATGTGAAGATTTCCAGTCATTAACTAGGCTCACTGCAGTGAATCTGCCTTATTTTCAGGAAGTGTTTAAATAAGAGAAGGAAAAGTTACCACAGAAACTTATCCCCCAAGACTAGCCTGGTCCCAGTCAGGCTGGTTTAAAAAAAGGAAGTGATTTAAGTGCCGTCTCGTTATGAGTTTAATTTATTAATTTTAGCGGAAGAACATGTTAATTTCCACTTTAAATACCACGTAGACAGTTCTACATTTTGGGTCCTTCGAATTTTCCGGAGGTAGTGTTCAGTCCTGGAGGTATTGATGATGAAGTCTTTTAATATATTTTTTATGGTGCATGCAATTCCACTCGGCCTGCCTCGTCTGCTTAGTTCAGTCGTCGATGTCTCACATTTTTCAAGTCTTTCGACATCTAATTTCATTTAGTGTTTGCACGTGGCGACGGTAAGAGCGACGCAATAGAAAAGACTAGACGGCAAGTTATGTCAGACTGTTTCCTGGTTCTGAGCAGTTGCTTTAGTACGGATTGAACCAACAAGATGCAACAAGTTCTTTTAGTTTAGGATTTTGTTTGTTCAAAACAGCTGTTCGTTTTTTATTTATTTATTTTTATGCTAAGCTAACAGACTGCTAGCTGAAGCTTCATATTTAACTTCTTCAAACATCTTCTCGTCTAACTCTCTGCCAGAAAGTGTTGAACTATTCCTTTAAACCAGTTGCCAACTTGAATGAGAAAAAAAAAAAGTACATGACCCCGAGCCCCAACAATGGGAACTAAACCGTAGATCAAAACACTTCAGTGATCGTATACTGTATAAAGAAACTACAAATGTAATATATCCACTATAGCAGTAGCTACTAATTGCCTTAGCTTTTGTTGCTCGTCCTCACAACGTTCATGTTCCCTCCAGGCAGCACATGCAGAGCAGATCGGGGCTCATGCCATTGCCGCCATGGCCCCGTTCTTCTTCAAGCCCAAAACTGCAGGTATGCGCTGGTTTTAGTGGGGGAAAAGGATTTATTTTCAAATGCAAGTTCACACCCACTGAAAATGTGTGCGGCTGAACACCCACTTTCACACGTCAATACTGTGTGCTTGTTTCACACGTTCACACTTGTTGTACACATTTCTTTCCCTGTCTTTCTGCTTCAGACGCCTTGAGGTCGTTCCTCCAGGAAGTGGCTTCGGCTGCCCCAACTCTGCCTTTCTATTATTATCATATTCCATGTATCACCGGTGTTAATTGTAAGTGCCACTGATGATTGATTTTGCAGTTGCATTTAGAAATGGAGAGGCTCTGCATCCCCGACCATGATTGAAAAAGCATGTTGTCTATAACTGATTGTATACTGAATGTGAGGCGGTCTTTCTTTTTGTCTTTTCTTCAGTGCCAGTGAGAGATGTGTTGGAAGGGATTGAAGAGCTCATTCCCTCCTTCAGAGGTGTGAAGTTCAGTGGGACTGACCTGATGGACCTTGGCTACTGTGTCAGCAACTATCCGCCTCACTGGTCCTTCCTCTACGGCTCGGATGAGGTCAGCTCTTTCTCCATCTTCTATAGTTGCTTATCATGAAAGAAGTTTTTTACGACTCTGACCTTCACCACAGAGCCGGCCTAAAACAAAGTTTCTGTCTTTTTTTTATTTTTATTTTTATTTTTTATTTTTTTTGTGTCCATAGCAACTGCTTGCAGCTTTGGCTATGGGGGCCGATGGAGCAGTTGGAAGGTCCGTGTGTGATCCTGCATAGTGCTTCCTCTCCTTTCCTTCACTGTGGTTAATGGTTATTTACATGCGTTTCATTTGTCTGCCCGCAGCACTTACAACTACGCAGGACGTCATTTCAACAAGCTCATCTCGGCATTTAAGGACGGCGATGTTGTCCAAGCCAGGAAGATACAGGTACCGCCCATCTTGCTGCCGTTGCTCCCAACTTCACTCTGATATTTTTTTTACATTTATTTTGTTTGCTGACATCTTTGTCTCATTTCCATGAGCAGTTCAAGATGCAAGAGCTCATCTGTTACGCCATGAAACTTGGTGAGCGGCGCCTGTGTCATGTTTTTCAGTCATATTATTGGATAAATTAATGCTCCTGTGCTATAGAAGTCTTTCTCCACCTGACACGTCCTTATTGTTATTGACAGGCTTTGACGTGGGAGTGAACAAGCAGCTGATGAACGAGTTGTCAGGCTTGAGCCTCGGGCCCCCTCGACTCCCTGTGACGCCGTGCCCTTACGCTGACGTTGGGCTCATCGTGAAGAAATACCGTCAAATTTATGCTGACTGTTGATATTTTGTTGACTGTTAAAATCCATCATTAGCTCAACACAGCACATTTACACCTTGAATCAAAAGTTACTGTTAAGAGATGTTTTTCACGAGTCAGTACTTACCTTTTTAATGGGGGGAAAAAAATCAAATATGTTAACCAATATTTTAATCTCTTTTTTTATGATTTCTTAAATGTAAGAATAACTAACTCAGGGAAATGTGGCACTTTTGTTTCTGCTACATGTAGGAAAACGGAGACTGTCACGTGGCATTCATAGAACTTAAAAATGATCACAGTGAACCATCCTCAAAAAATGTCAAACAAGAGTCAAAGCTTTACTAATTCATTGTTTTCGTGTTTGAAGTTCGTAGAATGTTTTGCCACCAGTGAAATGAAAGTTCAGCATTATTTTTCCACTTTGAAAAATACAAAAAGTTATGGAAAAACCCAGGCGTTAAGCTCTCTCCATCAGAGGGACGATAACGGAGACAGAAGAAGTGTTAAAATGAATGCTGTGTCATGAAAGAATAAACACTCCAAAAAAGGGAATGAAACATCTTGGTCGTAAGAAGGGAGCATAAAACACAGATTCAGCCTGTTTTGAGTTAGAATTCATACTGTTTGTTGTTTGTTGTTGAATTTCTTATTAAAGGGCAATATACTGTATAATTTCTCTGGTTTGTATTATTATAACAATTAATCACTAATTTCTTACTAGCTAATGCGTTGATCTATGCGGTGGTCCAGATTAATTAATGTCTCTTTCTATTGTTCCTGAGAAGTTTAAAAATCACAAGGCCAGATTATCTCTGAGGCCAGCACAAACGAGCACTGGTTTGTGTGTGTGTGTGTGTGTGTGTGTGTGTGTGTGTGTGTGTGTGAGTGAGAGAGAGAGTGCAGCTATGTCCATAACCAGTGAGTGTGTCTCGTGGTCGTGGTGTCTAGTCAGCTGGAAATTCTGCACTGTCTTGACTTTTTTTTTTTTTTTTTTTTTTTTTTTTTTTTTTTTATATCCTTCCCTCTAGCTCTGTATTCACTAACATTTCCTTGAAATACATAATAGTGTGATATTATTTTAGTCCTGGAGTCGCTGCGTTATTTATATCAGCTGATAATTAACTTGAAAACCTGGATAAAATTGTGGTTTGCACCCAAATTGAACATTTAAAAACAATTTGTTCTAGATAAGTCCTCTCCCAACCTGAATGTCACTGCAGTTGTTTCCAATGAACCTCTTAACTACGCGGTTTGGTAGTTTTGATCGATGTGGTTCCATTAAAAACATCTGCTTCTCTATTCGCCACAAAAAGGCAGCGAATTTAGAGAAACTGTAGGTAAACTGATGTGAGAGAGAAAAGCAAGTGATGCCGAGATCGAAAAGTGGCCCGTGGTATGGGACGGTTGTTCAGTGGTATACCGATCCCTGGAGTGGTATGAGACGGTTGTTC